CCCCCCCAACCCCAGCCTTGCAGGACGAGGGTGGGTGCGGGGAGCCCCGGCGACCTCGGGGACCCAGTTCCCGCTGCCCGCCGGGGGCGCCTGTTGCAGGCCTGCGGATGGTACCGCTGTGGTTGCGGAGGACCGACGACCTAGGCGCTCCAGCGGGGAGGAGCCGGAACCGATCTGCGCCGAGGACTTGATCGCTGGAGCAGCCCTGCACTCCAGCCTCGGGCGGGGGCTCTCGGGGGAGTTTAGCTTTCCTTTGAGCTACTGCCACTGTCACGCCCCCTCCCAGCCCCTTTCGAGGGACTTCATTGAAGCGTTTAACCTCTGAGCCTTCTCTGCCACCCAGCTTCGGTCCCTGCCCCACAGGGACCACAAAACCCACAGGCCGGCGGGTCAAAGCAGACAGCCTAGCGGACGCTTGGGAGCTGCCCAGGTGAGATGAGAGGCGCCCAGGTGGCCCATTCCTCTTCTCTTGGCTACTCCGAAGGGGCCCTTGACTAACTGGTTCTCACTAGGGGGTGAGTGACTGTCTGGGCTGGAGCTGCCGCCGCCTTGGGTATGGATTAGGTCCTGCTGTCAGGCAACAGGGCCGAATTTTGAGGGGCAGAAAGTTGCTGCCTGTAGTTGGCCACGTTGCCAGAGTGGTTTTGTCTCTCTAAAGACTTGGGAGATGTGTGACACTTCAGCCAGCTCCCTGAGTCATTAGGTAAACTGAGGAAGGGCTCTTCAGTGGATCAGTGGGAGCGCCTCTCCCCCTATGGGGAGAGTTTTCAAAGGGAATTTCTATAAAAATGTGGACAAGGGCAAGGCGCTCACACTCACTCCTGCAGCTGTCACAACAGTAAGGGGAGCGGCTCCGAGCCCCACAGGCCCTGTGCTAACGGAAGCTGCGGGCTGTGTGGTGTCCTGGGTTCGAGGTGCCACAGGAATGTGCAGAAGGTTAAAAAAGAGCCTGGAGCCAAGGTGCAGGCTGGGAGGTGCAGGCCAGACACTAATCCCAGCACTCTGGAGGCTGAGGTGGGAGGACCGACGGGAGGCCAGCCTGAGGCTGTCTCAGAAAAACAAAAGTGCAACCAAAATTAAAAAAAAAAAAGTGCAGGCAGCAGGACAACACACATGCCCAGCGGGGAGGGGAATTCCAGCTCCTAGGCCATTTCCCAAGCCTCTGCTTCTCTTCCCACTCCTGAGAGAACTGGCTCAGCAACCAAGGCTGTCTGCTTAGTAACTTTCCTTAAATCAGCTCTTATTTTATTTTTTTTACTTAAATGAGCCTGTTTTTGAAAAAGATATGATGTATCAATACCGTAAATGGAAACCCAGCATTGCGTTACTATAAATAGAAAGTAACCTTAAAAATAAACACAGTGCACCAGACATGGTGGCGCTGGCCTGTAATCCCAGCACTCAGGAGGCTGAGGCAGGAGGATCGCTGTGAGTTCAAGAACAGCCTGGGATACATAGTTGAGTTCCAGGTCAGTCTCAATTACAGTGAGACCCTGTCTCAAAAAAACAAAAAATAAATCAATAAGCACAATGGGCCAGGAGTGTAGCGCATGCCAAGTGCCCTCTGTCTACCGGACCCAGAGCAGGCATGAACCCACTGAGCCTCGCTGCTGGGAGACTGAGGCAGGAGGATCCAAAGTTGGAGCCCAGCCTGGGCAACTTAGGGAGACCTTATCTCAAAATAAAAAAGGCTGGGGCTGTCACCTAGTGTGAAGGCCCTGGGTTCAATCCACACTACTGCAAAAAAATTTAAAAATAGCCAGGGATTTAGCTCAGTGACACCGCACCCCCCTCACAAGCACAAGGTCCTGAGTTCGATCTCCAGTACCAGTAAGTAAATAAATAATTTTTAAAATTTAGAAACAGACGCGGTGAAAATAGGTGCTTATTCTAGCAACGTATCTTTAACTCTGAGATATTTCTTTTAATTTCTAACAAGATATTGCTTGCTGCCTGCGAACAGGGCTGAGCCCCCAGCCCACTCTCTCTTGAAAAGGAAAGTAAACAAGGACCAGAAAGGGGTTACGGGATATTAGCAATCAGTCTGTGATGCTCTGCGGTCAGGAAACATGACATACTGTGCACATACTCAGCAAAACGGTGCCTTCCAGCACTTTCTTTGAAAACTTAGGAATCCAGAGAGGTTAGTCCTGTGCCAGGTAAGGAGGTAGGAGATTAGGGCTGGAGCCAACAGGACAACTAAGGCGTGTGTGTCCAAGTTCATAAAAACCCTGAGGACATGTGCAGAGCACAGCACCCAAAATGATTCCTTGGCTCCCAAGCGCTCACTGTACAGGAACCAATCAGAAAGCGATACTCTCAATGCCTCATTTGAATCTGACCATGTCTTAGAACCAATCAGAAGATGCTGTTTTCAATCCTTCATTTGCATGGGGGCTCAACCAATCAGAAGATGGAAGTCTGTGATCCATCATTTACCTGTTGTGGGAAACCAAACAAGGTTTTTCATGGGCCAGTTTATACCTGGCATGATAAGTGATTTTTGTTGAGGTGTGGTTGGTTGAGACAGAGTCTTGCTATGTAGCCCAGGATGGTTTTAAACTCTCAGTGATCCTCCTGCCTCAGCCTCCTGAGTGCTGGAATTACAAGTATGAGGCACCGTGCCTGGCCATGTGACTTCTTGATAGGACAACCATCCCAATGCCTTATTTTCATAAAGGGGAAGCTGGCACTTCCCCTCGGGCCGCCGTGAGCCTGTTCCACCTGCTGCTGTCACCCCTTTCCTATGTGTCTTGTCCAGCTCTTTGTCGGGACACCAAGAACCTGGGGAGAAGCCCCCCAGACCCTCCATCTGGTAACAGTACAGCCAATCTCCACTCCAGAGAGTGAACCCCACATACAAGGTGGTCCCAGGAAGCCTCAGTGTTTCCCTCTGTATAGTGGGGGCTGGGGCAAACCCCCTGGGGAACCCTTTATTCTTGGAAAGAAAGAAGTATCCAAGAGGCAACTCATTTTCCTGGTCCTCCTTCTGTCTCTTACACAGAAGTTTTCTTTCAATAAATTTTCCTACTCTTAAAAAAACAAAAAAGAAAAAGAAAAATGCATCCAAGGCTGTGACTCCTGAGGAAGCCAAGGAGGTAATAGGCTTCCCAAGGAGAGAGGTGCAGTGGGGAAGGGCCTGGAATGGCAGGAGGTGTTGGGAGCTGTAGACCCCAACCTCAGCAGAGAGCACAGGCCCTCACATACCCAGAGTGGCCTGGACTGGAAGGCGGCAGGCTCCCCACTCGCCCGTTCTGGAAAGAAGCTTGTGGAGAGTCCATTGTAAAACTACCTCACCATATGGATGGGGAAACTGAGGCAGGGCCATAGACTAGTCTGTGCTGACTGGGAGCTGGCATTGCACCCAGGGGCTTCTCTACGGCCTTGGTGTTTGGGGAGCTGGGGTAGAAATAATACTTTTGAAAATATGCTCAGCACCTGCGCAAAAAGCTTGGCCTGGGGTGGCCAGGGCTATGCATCGCAGGTGCTGTGATAGAGGACACCTGGGGTGAGCGCTTTCCACACCGGCATCCCGGGAATGCTGCTGCAGAGAAAACAGCCTAAAGCTGGACCTCCTGCACTAACTGGTAATCCCAGCACTTGGGAGGCTGAGGCAGGAATGTTGCTGTGAGTTCCAGGCTAGCAGAGGCTACATAGTTCAAGGCTAGCTTGAACTGCATAGGGAGACCCTGTCTCAAAGAAACAGAACAAATAAAAAACAAAGCAAAGAGTTTCAGATCTGGAGTCTGCAGCTCGGAGTCCCAAGTCAAGGTCACCTGGCCATGGTCTGACTGGCCGTTGTCTCGGCTGCTGCCGCTCCTGCCTGGGCCTCAGTGGTTCCTTCTGAGACATGCTTTATGTGGGCAGGACTGGTGGGTTTGGGGTGGGGTCGAGAGCGCCTGCTCCTGGATGCCTTAAG